AAAGGGGCTGGGGATTTAGCTCAGCGGCAAAAGCGCCTGCCTGGCAAGCACAAGGTCGTGAGTTCGGTTCCCGGTACCGGAGAAAAACCAAAAAAAAAAAGACCCAAAAAAAAAAAAAAGTAAAACCATAATTCACACATAGATATACAAAAGACATCTTTTAAAATTTTATTTTTACCGATAGTGAGGAAGCCAGGAAAATGTTATAACAGATTTAAAGGAGAAGTCCAAAGAACAGACATTTATAGATTGAGAATATTGAAATGAATGTGCAAGTTGAAGCAAAACTTGTTTCTTCCACAATGGGGAAGGAAGTCAGCTGAGCCTTTACTGATCTGGCATCATCTGCTTGTGTATTTAATAAAGTTAGTTGGCATCGCCACCAATTATCTTCCACTTTCAGAGCTGCATAGTTACTTTAGGATTGGAAACCGAGAGTACCCTACATAATACTAATTTCCCATTAGAAGTGCATATTTCCTCCTCACTTTCAACAGGTTATCAGAATGTCTAAAACTCTTCCAAATGTTAATTGTAAATTAAATCCCTGCATTGATTATTTAGGTTTTAAATGCAGCTCTTTGGTAACAGCTTGAAAGGTAGACTTTCTATAGGGTGTTTATGTAGGTTTGTTTAGGTTGAGGTCAGTCAGAGACCGGAGGATAGATCTGGTTTTAATCTTTAAACAGGATCTGTCAGAAAACAAATCCAAGATGTCTCAGTAAATGAAATATAATAATAATAAGGTTTAAAAAAACTGTCCAAAAAAAATATCTCCAAAGAAGTAGCCTTAGCAACTTAGATTGTACATATATTCGCTTTCTCATCTCTGATAGCAGCGTGCAGTTGTAAGGAAGGGATTTCTATAAATGATTATAAACTTGGAAAGTCTAGGTTTCTTAACTTCATGACAAAGGTAGAATAATCCTATTTCCTGAGATAAGTGTATGACGGGAGAAGTTTAGCGCACCTCCTCCCCAATTTTGATATGCTTAGAGAAATTAATTTTCTTAGAGAATTAATTTTCTGTGTGAAGAATATAGGATTATTTTAATAGATCTGGCTTATTATCCAAAAATTTCTCATTTCTAGTCTTCAAAGGATGAGTGTACTTCTTTTGTACTTTGAAAGATAACCTGTGCTTCTTCACAGTGAGTTATTTAGCTCTTTATAGTACTACTCTGGGAGACCCCATGTGCAAGTTTGCGTAGAAGCTTTTTGCTTTGTCTTATATACCTGCCTTGGGCTAAGAGTGTATTTAACTAACCCATAATTATTTTTAACTTACACCCCTCAGCATGTTCTGTTTTTTGAACTTAGTTTGATGCATTTTATTCTTCTCTCCCAGTTTAAGCTCTCTGTAGTACCTTTTTTGGTATATCTGAGAACAGTGCTCAGAATTGTTACTTGACACACTCAGCATCTGTCTCTACCTTATGCCTCATCCTGATTATAATCAATTAATCAATCAATAAAAAAAATGACCTTACAGCAATATTTGGCCCCTGAGCTTTTAGGAGCATAGAAGCTTCACTTTTCCGTGAGTAGACTCTTGACTTGAGAATATTGCATATTCTGTCTCCTCTCTGGCCAGGGTAGTTTGTATCTCAGTGACAGAAAGGTACTTTGCCTGAGTACTCCAGTGCTAAGTGTATAGTAGTTTAACTTGGAAGTGCTTATGGAGTAGTGCTGCATGTACATATCTGACCTTGATAAAACACAGCTGGAAGAGAGAACGTGTGGGGAGTGTTGTTTTTTGAGATGAACTTAGATACTGCATGTGTTGATTCACATAGTGGAATTTTAGGGGAAGTATATGGTTTGCCCTTGAGCTCCTTGGAAATGATGATTTAGTCTCTTCAGACATTTCTGTGTCATGCTGGGTAGAGTGATGTGTGCCTGTAGTCCCAGCAATTTGGAAGGCCTGGTGGGAAGACTGCTTAAGCCCACAAGTTTTAAGACCCATGTGGACAACACAGCAAGACCCTGTTGCAGGGGAAAAAAATCTGTACCATTGTCATTATGGGTTGGTTGGAATGGCTATGTTGTTCAATTCTCATTTCATTTTTTTTTTTTAATTTTAAAAATAAAAGGAGGAAAACATTAACAGACAGACAACCTTTTACAAAATAGCAAAAGAACAGTACAGACAATACAGAGTTACAAACAAAGTGGTAGGAAATTAACAATACTTGTT